AAAAGGGGCGTGCCCACATGACCACCGCACCGTGATCAAACCTAACCAGCCGACAGGATTTCCCCAGCGTCACCTAATAACTCCCTGCTACTCAGATTCCCTCCGTTTCCTTAAACACCTTTATAGCTGTTCTCTCTCCAAATCAGAATCTCACATTCTGGTCCAGCCAGCATAGGTGAGCGTTGACCTATGAACCGGGAGATCACGGTTCGATTCCCTGTCAGGGCACATGCCCGGGCTGCTGGCTCGATCCCCAGTGGGGGGCGTGCAGGAGGCAGCCGATGCATGATTCTCTCTCACATTGATTTTTCTCTCTCCCTCTCCCTTCCTCTCTGAAATCAATAAAAAAATATTTTTAAAGAAATCCCACATGCTTTTCACACATATATTTATTAGTTAAGTCTTTTTGGTCTCTTTCATCTGAGAACAGTCCTTCTACTCCCCCCCCCCCCCCACACACACACACACATAACCTGGACTTTTGGAAGATAACAGGCCAGGGATATGCTTGATTTGTGCAGAAGAATAGTCTGGATTTGTGTAATTCTTTCTTCTTTTTTTTTTTCCAAAGTGCTAGGTGTTCCTCTAATAGTGCTTTTCCTGAAAAGGCGTGATGAGTTGCAGGTTCCACTGATGTACAGACACTTCCTGTTGCATCACACCCAGGCCGTCTGGTCAGGCCCTGCCACGATTAATCGTGAACGGAATAGCCGGGCTCCTTAGCCTGCGGCTCCGTCTTCCGTGCAGACCGTATCTCTCTGCAGCTCTCAGAGGCTGCACACGGCCCCTCAGAAAGCCTCTCCGAGTGGCTCTGCACCCACTCGTCCTTGTCCTCGGTCCTGCTCGGTGGCATCGCACATAGCGGGTTTCTCATCCGTCACCCTCCTCCGCCAGCGGTCCATGGAGGAGAGCCCCCTCAGCACGTGGCCCGCACCCCGTTTTCTCCTGAAAAGGCTCGGCCTCTGTCCCCTTCAGTTACCAATTTCAAGAACAAGAAATTCATGGAGTAGTCACTTCCAATGGGGGCAACCCAGATTTCTTTTCTGTTTCTGTTTTTGAGGGTTACTGTGGATTCATCGATTTTTTTTTTTATACTCAGTGTTGTTCTTGTTTTAAAGCAATTTACAAGTACCAAGTATTATTATTTTTTTAATTTGTCGAGGCTAAATGTGAAGCCTGAGTCCTAATGGAGTATAGATTGAATGGGGGGGAGGGGGAGGGTTACTCAGAATAATGTTTTCTTTTAAGCGTGTGTGATTAAAGCTCCCAGTCATTTTTTTTTTAATTTATGGGATGCTCTTTCCTGAACGCCTCTGAGTACCTTAACCAGAGCCTCGCTGAACACAAGGATGTCAAAAAGGCACATTCAAATTGTTCGCAAAATCAATCAAAAATAATGAGGTGCGAGGAGAAAGTTGTATCCTTGATAATTACATCTATCAGTATCAGAAAACAAAAGCGAACAATCAGGAAATGACAACCGCACTCCCAAGCAGCACATTAAAAAAGGCTAATGAAAAAAAGCCTCTTTTAAAAATTGTACCAAATTAGCATTTCAAGTCAATTGACAACTTAAGCGCTGGTGGGGGCCAATGTGGGCCCAAACAATGGAAGTTCTGTCTCCTCTCATCTGCTTGTGAAAGGAGTGAGCTCCCTTGACTTTCCTGTCGTCTCCTATGTAAATGGGCGATTGTCCTAGGGAAGTGGCAGTCCTCCTGCACCGCACAGGGCGTCACCCCGGGCACTTACTGGCTTAATTGGCGGTTCTGTGTGTTGGGGGTTGACCTGGAGGAAGGGGAGCAGGTGGGGCAAGGTGTCCGGAGCGCTCCTCCCAGCGTCCTCCCAGCGTGCTTCCCGTTCTGCCCGGAAAGGGGTCAGTATCTCTGCCACCTTAGACAAGGGGTCCTGAGTGTAGGTGTGGGCCCGTGGGTGGGAGTAGCCGGAGAGCCGCTTGGAGCCTAGAATTCGGGAGAATTCCTTCCTGAACCCAGGGCTGGAGTGGACTCGCCTCCAAGAGAATGAGCTCCCCGAGGCGCCCTGTTCAGAGGTTACGATCGCTTTACTCAAAGACGGGGTGGCAGCGGGCAGGGCTCTTCATGTTCCTCTAAGTCTACAAAAAGGGGTGCGTGAAAGGTCACTTAAACTTCCTTTTTATAAATGAGGGTAAAATGGAATTTTGTACCATGGCTTTAAACAGAAAACCTCAGCACATCCCGGCCTGCACATCCCGTTTTGTCTTTGGGAAAGGAGATGAGTGAGGCAGTCAGGTTCCGCGCATGGCATTGTTAAGGTCCTGGTACCTCGTTTTGGGTCACATTAAACTTCATTTCATCTGGCGCCAAGTTTAGCAGCTTGTATATAAGAGTATGACTTTGTTAAAAAGAAAAGGAAGCAATGTTTTGTTAATATGAGAAGCATTCAAACCCGTAAAGAACTTTTGTGAGTTTATTTGAGCCAAGCTGCCGACAGTTGCCAGGAAGCAGAATCTCAATGGATTGGGGCGGTGCTCCTAGAATGGCGGGGTCCTACCTCACAGTCAGAGGAGGAGGCAGGAAGTGGGCTGAGTGAAACCCACTGGGGATAGATTAGGGAGGCAGGAGCCAGCCAAGGGGCGAGGGACACAACATCTGCCCAGCATCACGTGTCTCACTCGTTCACTTTTTGATTTGACATACGAGTAATTTGAGTTATGAGCTCCGTCACGGAACGAATTAAACTCGTAAGTCAAGGCCCCACTGTACTTCTCTTACTTAGGTGGGTGCAGGAGAGTTAACAGTCAACAGTTAACTCAGTGACATTGAGGGGAAAAAGGAATATTACTTTGACATCCCAAGATACGTTATCATAGATGCAAAAAGACAACAGAATCAGTTAAGGTCATGATGGGCCTTTGTCGAGGAAGATACTGGCCTAGGGCGTGACTACCCACCATAAACTGCTTTTTAATTTAAAACGTTTTGATTTCAGACTGTCCTTTGTGGTGACTTTAGGTCTCTGAGTTGGCAAGGCCGCTCCGCAGGCCTTCCCTGAGCTGGTCAGGCTCGCACACGGCCCCTTTTCGTCCACAGTTTTAAATACCATCTGATGGGTAGAATTGTTATTCGAATTGTCAGTAGTGACAAACGCATTTGCTTTCCGTGATAAAGGAAGACGTATCCATAGATCTTCAAATGTGTCCGCTTATTTGGAAGATGGTAGTGGTGCTAGTATATCATTATTTTGGTTTGTCAAGTGATTTTATTCTTTATTATTAGACCAGGAGGAAAAAAATAAAAAGCCCTCCGATATTCCACCCACATACTCATCAGTCATCATTTTTGGAGACGCTTGCCGACACGCTGGATGCTTTACTGGGCTAACGAGAGAAAGACTAGCCGTTAAGTTTATGCCTCTTTGTTTTCCAGCAGGGTGGCGAGTCAGGAGTGATGCTGGAAGTATGCTAATAAACAACGTGTAATGGAGGTCAGCCGGGAGTAAGAAATATTTCCTAACTAGTTCTAAAGGGAAATAACGTTAAAAAAGGGAGAGAGGTTATTTACGCCACACGTGTTGCTCTATATGTCACCATCAGAACCATCTTGTGAACAGCTCCGCGCAGTAAATCTTCCTGGTGCGTGTCAGGGCGTTCGCCGTCCCTGGGAGATTGAGAGTCAGGCCTCGGGCCTCGCTCCCATCTCGCGTGCGGCCCGTTAGGCGGTGGAGGAAGCTCCCATCCGATCCGCGCCCGCGCTGCCCTGTTTCACAAGCAGCACCCGTGTCTGCCGCAGCGGCAAACGCTGTTGTGACAATAACGAAAACTTCGCATTCGCGGCCTTTCTAGCTTTAATCACGCAGGAAAGGGCACAGTCCTCGTGCTGCAGGTTGGTTTTGTTGAGTCCTCTGCGCGTCATTGCAGATCGCAGGCGGCTCGCAGTCCTGTGGCTGCTGTCGGCACACCAGGTGTGTGTGCGGCGGCGAAATGACAATCCGGTGAGAACGCCTGAGCACATGGTCATTGATGTAATTTTACAAATGTCATTTTCTCACATTGGGGAGATTTTAAAAACGGATTATTTCATGATGGTTTTAATTATAAATATTAGGTTTCATCGTAGAGGAATTTCTGTGACTGTCTTCTGGAAGACGCAACCGATACCTTATTGAGTTCATCGCATAGTGCTCAGCCAGATGTGGGCCACAGCAGTAAAGATGTCAGATCACACAGGCTGCTTTCTTTCAGAGCCCAGTGTGTAGAATCAAAGGGCTTATTTCTCTTCCCAGTAGCAGGGCCCTGTGACATCAGGCAAATACTTCCTTGGGCCTCAGTTTCCTTACTGGTGATACTGGAAGTATAACCCCTGCTCTGTTCCCTTCCGGGACCTGGTGTAAAATGATGAATGGTGTTGGTATGTTCACTAAGATAAGAAATTATATGAATTCCTTGTGGGAGAAAATAAGTATTTAAATGCTAGGACTTACCGATTTTTGAAAAAAATCATCTAGATTTCAGACTTCAGCTAAAAATTATAATCTGTAAATCTCTTAGCTAGATCCCCCGAATCTTAATTTATTGGCCATTTTACGTAGGGGTATCTAGAAGCAACACCACAGTTATTTTGATCAGAATGAAAGCCTGACCTTCAAAAACACTGGTTTCTTGAAACTCCACCACCACGTGTTACAGATTTAAAAAAAAAAATACTCGCTTCTATGTTTGACTTTAGGACTCTTTAAAAATACGTCATGCCATCATTCGGTGCCTCGTGGCTTCCAACTGTTTGCCACTGAAAGCGTAGTGTTGGGCATGAGGCCACGAGGTCTCAGTGAGGAACTGGTGTAACGCGGCCCAAGCAGCCCACGGTAGGTTAGTGAGCGACGTCTGTAAGACCAGCATCTCAGAAAAAGCTGCGAATAGGGCTGGGTGTGTGCGTGCATGTGCGTGTGCGTGTGTGTCTGAGTGTGTAACAAAGCCATAAAAAGTGCATGCGTCTAAGTAATTCTGTCTGTACTTGTTTTCTCAGAAGAAGACCTATCAGTGCATCAAGTGTCAGATGGTTTTCTACAACGAATGGGATATTCAGGTGCATGTTGCAAATCACATGATTGGTGAGTGACCCTCTAAACCTTATTACGGACGGATGTTTCTCCTGCTTGTGTCCCTCCCTGCCTTGTCGTTACACAGAGTTAAAAATGAATTAATTGTTCAGTCAGCACTGTGTTCCCTAAGCATGATTGATTGATTGTTTTTTTTATCACTATTAGTCGGCCTGATCACACATTTGCACGGTTGCTTTTCTGCAAGGGCCAGTTTAGACTTCTGCAGAGGGTTACGTGTCTGCTGCCCGTCAGAGCACAGGTGATTAGCAAATTAAACTCCTAATCACGTTCGCATTATTGGGAATGGACAGGAATGGTTAATGAATTGGGTGTTCGCTTTCCATGGAGTTTGAGACGGGTTTTAATTTCAGAAGTTATTACGGTAATGGCACTGCTGCTGCTGCTGACGCATCTTTGTTTCAGAATCCAAAGTGGGGAGGTGTTGGGATGGGGACACATAAATAATTCAAATGGCCACGAGCTGGTTTGACCTGGATGGTTCCACCAGCCTGGAACTGATCATGATGGAAAAGGTCATGTGAAGAATTTGGCACTCCTTGTTTATTGCAGAAAATTCACACAGCTCTTGAGAGAGGGCGTCTGGGCCGAGCCCCTGGGGTCACTGTGGACCAGTGTTCCTGGGATGTTTCATCCATCCACTGGGCGGGAGCTAAAAGGATCCTTTTGTTACCTGTGCACGGCGTCCCATGGTCCCTTCGGTCCTCGGGGCGCGCCTCCCATGCTTTCTAATTGGATAAGACTTAGGAGCAACACTGAGAGTTCTGCCAGCCGATTAAACTTTGTCAAGCAGATCTCTTTCTGCCAGTGAAATGATAATTGCTGTCTCTTTAAGCTGTTTCTGTACTCACTTGTATTTTTATACTATGAGAGTGTCTTTTATTTCTTACTGGCTGCGTGGCGTTCTGTAACACCATCAATAATTGTGACGTAATATTTATAAAGTCTGTTTAACCTTGTGTTCTCTCAGACAGGCAGGAATAGGCGGCAGCAGCTTCGCAGAACGTTCTGTGGGAGCGCTCACTGCTGCCGCTGACCACGCAAACCAGCCGTCCCAAACGTCTAAGGCTCATGCAGATATTAATAAAGACAAATTCAAAGCATGTTGGGAAATTGATTAATAGGTTTTCAATAGGATTTGCTTTATCGTTTTCAAATGATGGGTCTCTGGGAGGATTACTGCTGAGAAAAGACTCAGTGCTCATTGTGCAAAATGGAACGTGCGTGTAACAGCTAGACTATTGGTCACTTTATCGCTGTGTTTCCCGGGTTTAAGGACTAGTATTGTTAGTGATGTCTTGAACATTGAAGAGCATGTTGTTAACTGTGACAGAATAACAATGACAACTTGACGAATGCTAAAAGAGGGTGAACTGCGAGGTTCAAATAATGCGTTTTCTTGCAGTTCCCTTCCATTTGGGACTAAAAAAAAACCTCTCCATAAACTTTCAGAACTGCTTTTTGGGGGCTGGGGAGGGTGGATTAGAAGTAAGTTCTTCCTGTGGCAGAAGTTTCATACTTCCCGGCGCTGTCACGGGAGCAGAGGTTTGGCAGCGACTGTTCACCACTCTGCTCTGTGTGCAGGGCACACGGGCTTCGGGCAGAGTGCTCGCCGCTCGTGGGCATTGAATGGCACCCGTGGTTCATGCCTCTGAGGAGCCGTGTGTGGTGTGGCCTCGCTTTTGGTTCTGGGTCTGCTATTCAGAGGAGCGGACCGCGTGTCTCCGCCGCGTGGCTGACGTCCTGGCGCATGGGAGGCCCGATGGGGTGCGGGTGGCAGGGCTTTCTGACCCCAGTTCGGTGCCCTTTGTCCCTGAGGTTCGTGGCGGTCCTGGCCCTTCCTTTCAAGTTGCTTGATACCCTCCCTTGGCATTTCCTTTGATTCCTGGCTGCATTCGTGCGCCTCCCCAGCGAGCCCCCTCCCCCCACCTTATGGTGGGTTAATAGGACACTCACTCTCCCTGGGGTCTGAGCATTTAACAGCCCACCTTCTACCAGCGACAAGAACGCTCCTCCTCCTCACGGAGGCCCGGGACTTAACAGTCACGCTGCTTTTAATAAGAAAGCATGTGGTCCTCTAGCACTTGTGGCCTAAACAGCTGAATAGCATCCATTCGGTTGTCTTGTCTGTTGACCATGCATCCAGGCCCTCACACTGCCTTTGTGTCATTACATCTAGAGGGAGGTGGGGGGAGTGAAGTGGGCGAAGTCACGGAGGCTAAGATATCCTTTTCTAAGGTCCCAGTGTGATGCTTAGTCTCTCAAATGAGGCAGGCGGCCTGGTTGTGTTGGCTGAAATTCCTCCATGGAGGGTAGGTATGTGCAGGTTGTGGATCTGTGTATGTTTTTGTCTAATCAAAAAGCCATCGCAGCTGGACACGGAGCGGGGAAGAGCGATCAGAGGCGGACCCCCTCGCACTCTCTGTGCGAACGTGTGCCGGTGCGTTTGCGGGGTTTGCTTTACGTTTCAAGCCCTGAGGAAGGACTGCGCCCCCGAGGGAAAGCCAGGTCTGAGGTGGCGCCCTGAGTGCCACTCGCATCCCTTCTCTGACCAGGTCATTCGTGTGCTTCCCTGTCGCACACGTGTGTGAAGGCAGCCTCAGTGTCAGGCGGCCTCCGCGCTTCTTCCTGGCCCTGGGCTGTGGGCCAGGGACACGCGTGTAAGGAAAACCATCACTGTTTCTAGCAGGTCCGCACCGGAGCCGGCTGCCTCAGTGCCCGCAGCCAGTGGTGGACACGTGGTCTGAGTTGCAGGAATAATTATTCCATGAAAATGCAGGAGGGGTTCGACTTTTGTCTATTAAGGAAAAAAAGGAAACCTCACACGCCCTTTTGACACATTTCAGTAAGAAATCAGACCAGTGACTGTATTTAGGGGTTTCTTTTCTTACACACACACACATTCACATACACACATGTGCACACATGCATACATATACACGTGCACACATGTTTCTTTTCTTACACACACACACACGCGCACACACACACACACACACGAGCTACAAAACACTTGGACCGCCTTCCTGGGAAAGGCTTCCCTCTCAGGGCACAGGGGAGAGCCTCTCCCTGCTGCCTGGTCCCTCCACACAGTGTAGTTGGGGTTTGCCCTGAGGGTGCAGAGAGCAGCCATTGTGCCGGGCGCCCTGCAGCTCATTCCTCACGGCTCTTTGTCAGCTCCGTGCATACGTGCATCCCTCCATAGGAGCTGTCACATCTCCTTCCAGGGTGCTGTGTCACTGTGCTTGGTACGGGTCAGCCCAGGTAGAGATGAAACTGCAGAACGCAAGTGGGGTTAACCCAGTGAGGGCCCCACCTCCGAGACCCCGAGGCCCCGCAGCCATGAACGTGTCAGATGCTGGGGTGTGAGGGCCGACCAGGCCGTGATGGAAAGAGATGACGCATTGCCAACAGCTGTTCGTGAGAAGCTGCGTTTCTCACTCTGGTAATTCTTGACCCATAATTGCCGTCCTCTAATGACCTCGTTCAGTTACAGAGGAGTCTCATCCCTACAGAGGTTGGCGTTGCGACACGCACGTAAGTCCCCAACGAGACGGAGTGTCCCAACAGCCACACGCACTGTCTCGAAAGTGCAGGAGCGAACTGCGGGCGGCGGGGCGGACACCGCAGCCCCTCTCCACGCAGGCCAGCGGCGGCAGGGGATCCGGGAGGGAGGGGGCCGTTGTCCCTGAGCGGTCGCACACTGTGGCTCGGAGGACGGTGGTCAGGGTGCAGCTGGGCTGTTCTCCGCCTCCCCTAACCTTCCTGGAGGGCGGGTAGGAAGGGAATGCCTGCACGCCACTCACCTAAGACTTGTTTTTAAAAATCAACTTGGACATGATGACTTAATGCTGTGTTTTTTTGTATTTTTCATCTGATCCGAAAGACATGACCTAACCGCAAAATTGGGCCTAAAGTGGCAGTGTGCCCTGTTTTGTGGAGAAAAAAAAGGAAAATCCAGAAATAGTCACTAGTGAACATGTCTCAGATGGACCAGGTGATGTTTAGAGCATTTGGGGGAAGCATGTATATTTATCTCTTAAAAAAGCAAAACTAGAATTTAAGACTATATTGCCCTGGCTGGCTTGGCTCAGTGTATAGAGCAGTGATGGCGAACCTATGACACACATGTCAGAGGTGACACGCAAACTCATTTTTTTTTGGTTGATTTTTCTTTGTTAAATGGCATTTAAATATATAAAATAAATATCAAAAATATAAGTCTTTGTTTTACTGTGGTTGCAAATATCAAAAAACTTCTATATTGACACGGCACCAGAGTTAAGTTAGGGTTTTTCAAAATGCTGACACGCCGAGCTCAGAAGGTTCGCCATCACTGGTCTAGAGCATTGGCCCTCAGATGGAAGGGTCCCGGGTTTGATTCCGGTCAAGGGCACGTAACTTGGTTGCAGGCTCTATGTCCAGCCCTGGACAGGGCACCTGCTGGAGGCAACCAATCGATGTGTCTCTCTCTCTCTCACATGGATGTTTCTGTCTCTCCCCCTCCTCCCTCTCTTTCACTCTCTCTAAACATCGATGGAAAAATATCCTCGGGTGAGGATTAACAACAACAAAGACTGTAAGTGCGAGGTGATATGAAAACAGTGGACACAGATACTATGTCCATTCGGATAGCTAACTCTCAGTGCTGTGCAGATAAATGCGATTTTAAGAGGTGTGGGAAGGGCAAGCCTTCTGCGGCGCCCGCGAGAAGTGAACCCTGTGCGTTACGCTGCACGCGGTACACATCCCGGACGTGGAGACGGGAAGAAGGCAGGAGTCAGTCTGGTACGGGGTGCGCTGAGCTGGTTGTGGGCGTTCGTGCTGCCGTTTGCTAGATGCCTCAGGCCACAGATGGCCTCCTGTCCCTTCATCCCTTCAGTGGGCAGTGTGCTGGGCGACTGATCTTCATTAGGGTCTGGTGACGTTCAGTATCACCTCCGAAGCATTTGAGCCTGAGTGCTCTCGCTGTTGCTGAGACGAAAGCCAGT